GTCAATATTTTTGACACCGCAAATTGTGTAGGTTCATATTGCAATCCTGATCATCCGGAATGCTCATTAATTCCAATTGTGTTGAATATACGAGAGATTATTGTACATATTTTTCGACTTTATTATATTACTTCAGAGTTCATATTTTATTATTATCTTTTTCGAATGATGAATGATAAAAAGAATATAAAAAAAAGGAGAGAGATCATATACCAAATAATCTTATTCACAATTGATATATTCCAACTTGTGGCAATTGGTCTGTACCGAATAATACGACTTTATTATAAAACCAACAATTATTTAAATTTAAAAACACATATTTATGCTGATATTTTAAGCACTGGTTTTACAATCTTTGTAATGACCAGATTTGGGATTAATATATCTACATTAGTTATGGACGATGTACAGGAAGAACCATAAATATTTTTCAAAGATATTATGTTAGAGAACTTTTATCAGAAGTTGTTTTTTTTTAAATAGTTTTCTAAAGGTTTTTCATTTAATTTATTCAAGTACAAAAAATTTTCCACATCAGATTTATAATATAATATACAACTTTTATTACAGTATTCCAAATGTAAAATCAATGCTATTATTCTAAGAGGTTTTAGTAGTTATTTTAAATATAGCTTGATAAATTACTTTTAGAAGATATTTATAATATACCAAATATTTTATCAAATATAATACATACTGTATAGGCGCGTAATAACGCACATGAGCGTTATTTCCAAAATCCATTTTTTTTGAAAATCGCATATTTGACTCAAAATAACGCCTCTAAATAACGTGCACAATATACATATTTCCGAGAAATTTTTTAGTAGTCGTGACTTTTTCTTCAAAATTAGGATAATAATTCGAATTATCGTGCATACGCTAAAGCACAGATGCGCGTTATTAAGCGCCTATACGGTATATTTGAATTTGCTTTAATTTGAATTTTTTTAAAAATATTAAAAGCAAACTATTAAAATTTGATTCTATCTCAAAATTTTGCTTATAAAACTATTTTTATGTCTTGTCTCTATTCTAGCTTCTAATTCCAACTCTAATATTAGTTGAAATTTGTTTTTATTTTAATAAAAATTTGATTTATATACGTATTATACAAATTAACATGTTGTGTATATATAAAAATTACATGATATCAAAAAATAAATCTTATCAGCCATGGCTTACCTCATAAGACAATTTAGGTAACCGATTAACGAGTTACGCATCTCATCTGACAAACTGACATCTGAGGTGCCTCAGTTATCACCTGAGGCAAGAACTGATCTGGAGCACAAAATATACATAGAATAAAAAATAGATTAAGCATGAATATTGGACGGGCGTAACTGGTAATATTCTAATGCACAATATAAAGCATTATATATCTAAACAAAATTAATAATTGTTTATTAATTAACAGAAAAAATAGCTTTACGACAACACTTGATGATGTTACTAATGATATGAAGAAATATCCTGAATAATAAACGAAAAATAAAAGAGATAAATAAATAAATGGATATAAGTAAAAGGTAGTATGAAATTACAATTTTTTATACAATTTTATATACTTCATAATCACTAGCGTTAAAAAAACCATACACTGAACGAAGCTGTTCACTATAACATTTCTTTTTACAATACCACTTATCATTTACAACCATATTGCATTGTAAAGAAAGATCCCTTTTACCAAATGACGGGCCAGAACAATCATCATAATAAATTGCCTTATCGGCATTTACCACTCTACTAATGGTAGACATTGTATCAGAAAACTTAAAAATAAAACTATCTTCTGTTTTTTTATACTTTCTATTTTTTGTTTTTTTCCATATAAGAGGGTTATATCCTCCGAGAATTTCATTGGTTGAATGGGTCTTCAATACAACAACGGTTTTGCATTTGTTGTTACATTTTTCATAGAAATCGTCGACTTTAAACCCATTTATGCTAGCTTTAAAAATTAATTTATAATCATATGGATTTTTATATATATTATAAGGAGCTTCTACATGATTAATCCATGAAGATATCTTTGCTTGATGTTCTGTAGTTATAAGACATTGTGGTAATTTAGTTAATTCTGCAAGAGAATCTTCATAACCATCTAGTGTGTAATATGTTTGTTCTCGAAAACTTATAGCATTTGCATTATTTGGTACAAATTTTACTGATTTATTCAAATCTTCAAGGGATTTTTCATAGTTCTTTAACATATAGTACGTTTTTGCTCGGGATCTTAGTGCAAATGCGTTATTTGGCTCTATGTCTAATGATTTTGTTAAATCTTCAATTGATTTGTTATAATTTCTTAAATTATAATAAACTAATCCTCGAAGTCTTAAAAGTTCTGCATTACTTATATCAATATTTATTGCTTTATTTAAATCTTCAAATGAATTTTTATGATGACCAAGCATATAGTATGCTAGTGCTCTAGTTTTTAATGCGTCAACATTTTCTGGTTCAATATCTAATAACTTTGTTATGCTTATTAGAGATTCTTCATATTTTTCTAACTTAAAATAAGATTGTCTCTGAATCCATAGTGCAGTAGTGTTTCCTGCATCAATTTTTAATGAATCTGTCGAATCGTTGAGGGATTTTTCATATTTTTTCATTTTGTAAAAAGTTACTCCTCGATATCCTAATGTAATTGCGTTATTCGGATCAATTTCTAATGATTTATTTAAATCTACAATTGATTCCTCGCAACGATTTAGCATGCGATATGTTTGACCTCGAGATCTTAATGTAATCGCATTATTAGAATCAATCTCTAATGATTTATTTAAATCAGAAAGAGACTCTTCATAGCGCTCTAACATATATAAAGTTTGTGCTCGAGATCTTAGTGTATCAGGGTCATTTAAATCCTTTTCTAAGGATTTACTTAAATCGGCAAGTGATTCTTCATAACGTTTTAGCATATACAATGTTTGTCCTCGAGATCTTAGCGCGATGGCATCATTTGATTCTATTATTAATGATTTATTTAAATCTACAAGAGATTCTTCATGACGGCCTAATACATAGTATATTCGTCCTCGATATATTAGCGAAACTAAATCATTATCAATAATACTTAATAATTTGGTAAAATCTGCAAGGGATTGTTCGTAATTTTTTTGTTCAAAGTAGGTTAATCCTCGGAATTTTAATGATTCTATATCATCAGGATTAATTTTCAGTGATTTACTAAAAGAATTGAGAGATCCTTCATAATCATTAGCCTCATAACAAATTAACCCTTGAGCTTTTAGTTCAATCACATCGTCTGAAGAAGATTTAAGATTTTTTTTTGAGCCAAGTTCGTTTAACATCTGTACAGATGGTCCGACAGAAAGTGAATTACATGTGCCATTCCTGGTCAAAATAGGTATTGTTTCTTGATTACTATTTGTAATAAACTCTTCAACAAATGTATCTTTTGATATTTTATCAAGAGTCTCCAAAATTTCTTTTGTTGTTGGACGTTTCTGTGGATCAATATCCCAGCATTTTTTATAAAGCTCAGAAAAATTA